TTTAGTCATGATCCGCCTATGCAGGGGGGTTAGCTCAGAGTCAATAATAACTTTCATACAATACTTGAATCAAACTAATCAAAATTAAAATTTGTAGTCAATTTAAAATTTGTAGTCAATATAAATTCACATAACCGGTGACACTGCAACAGCTGGTGACACAATACATTCCAATAGTATAAAAAGTACAAGATTACCCGTGGAATGTTTACTATGAATATAGTGAACATGCACATGCAAACTATCAATCAATCTTTGTTTGCTTGGATGTGCTCAACTTTGATGCATATACAGTGGGACCTACCCTAGATAAAAAGGAAAATTTAATCGAAGGTTAGCCCAAACTTGTTTGCAAGATAACTTTTGTGGGAGTCTCGAAGACTTTCTTTCACGTCACTGGGAGTGCTAATGTAATCGGCAGTGAAGTATGGAAATCTTGTTAGCAGGCACTTCATCGAGGCATGATAATATCGGACTGTTTCCTGTTGAGGTGGCCTGCAATTCGACCAATCTCCATTGACGGGATACATCCATCGCTCTTTGTGAGAGAAGATTACATCAAATGGAATGACCTTCTTTCTATGACAAAAATTGAGATGACACGATTTGCACCTCTTCACACTTTCCACGAGAAACACCAACTCAAATGGATTTTCATTGTGGTGTATCTCGGAGTACAAAGGCCCTGTTTGCGCAGATGCACTCGAGCTTGGCTGTGCCTTGCCCCTTGCAGGTCGATAGCCATACTTGTTCCTTCCACCCTTCTTTCCCGCTGTTGCTTTTTGGACATCGTGCTCTGCAAGAGCCGTTCTTTTATGAACTTGACCTGATTTACTCCTGACGAAATTTAGATGCCTTAAATACCTTCCACAAACACAAGTTGCATGATCCCTGTAAACAGAGACCTGCACTGTTCCATTCTTGGCCCCTGTACTTGCAACTTCAAATTGAACTACTCCTTCGGTTTGCAGACTTGCTTTTCTCTGGATGGCAGTGGGGTGGTTCAGTAGATAAAGAACTTCTTTTTCTAATGTTTTTGCACTTTCGTTAGAATAGCCATGACGGTCGACCAGTTCGGTTGCGATGTCATCTCCTAAGGGCCTAAATTCTGCGTCAATATCAATGGTTTCGAACTCCGGCCACGGCACATCTTTCTGGTTGTATACATCTTGCAGGGACAGCTTCTGAACCCCCGGAACGTACGTTTCCCTCATCTTTGGCGTCCACTCGAACCAGATATTGCATGGTCCGCGAGGATGTAATCATCACTCAGCCCTGAATCAAAACTCAGAATCGTGACCTGAGAAACTGTTTAGTTTTGACAATTCCATTGTGCGTCTCATGCAAGAGCTTAAGAATTTTCTTTTACAGTGACGAAGGAACAACAATTTGTTTTCCTCTGAGAATAACTCCTTCATAAACAGATAATTCATCCTTAACTGCTTTAAACGGTTTCAGTTTTTCATCGCGCGACCACTTGCCATCTTGAATATGCTCGATTAATTTGGACAAAGTGTCATCTCTGTGTGTTTCGCGGCTCATCTCGGCAAGAGTGACAGCTTGCAGGTCTAACATGTTGGTGTCATAAACAAATCTAACATAATTCTCGCAAACAGTTCCGCTATTGGTGTAGTTTTCACACTTTGAAGGAAGTCGAGACAGTGAATCTGCAGTGTTGTCCTCTCCCGATACGTGTTGTACATGGAAATTGTACTAATGCAATCGCCAGGCCAAACGTTGAATTCGTGGTGGCAGGACTTTGCTGGACTGTGGATCAAACATGCTGGACAGAGGTTTGTTGTCAGTAAGTAGCGTAAAATTGATTCCAAACAAATAATTGTGCAGGCATTCGACTGCCCATACGCATCCAAGCGCTTCACGTTCGATTTGCGAATATCTTCGTTCGGTAGGCGTAAGTGATCAACTTATGTAGGCGATTGGTTTTTGCTTGCTGTTAGTTTGGTCTTGAAGCAGGATTGCTCTTAAACCTACTGGACTAGCATCAGTGATCAAATACGTAGGAGAGTTTAAGCGAAAGCATGCGAGAACAGGCTCGCAAGACAATGCTTCCTCAAGGGCTTCGAATGCCTCTTTTTGCTCCTTTCCCCACTAAAAATTTTACTTTGCTCCGAGTTAACTTTCGCAAAGGTTCCATGATGTTCGCGTAATTTGGTATGAATTTGGAAACATAACCGCACGTTCCAAGAAATGAGCTAAGATCTGATACATTCTTTGGCGGTGGTGTGGCTTTTATTGCTTCGCACTTTTTCGAATCCGGCTTAATACCATCGGCAGATACTACATGGCCTAACACTGAAATCTTGGTAACGCTGAATTCACACTTGCTTTGATTTAGCCTTAAGTTGTTCGCATGACATCTCTCGAAAACTTTACGGAGCCGGTTAATGAGTTCTTCCATTATCACAGCATGCACGATGACATTGTCGATAGAGATTTGAACTCTGTCAATTCCGAACAAAATTTGTTCCATCATCTTTTGGAAAGCTTCGCTTGAATCACTAAGACCGAAGGGAGTACGCTTAAACCTAAAACAACCACAAGATGAGATGAAGGTAGTGATGTACCACGACTCTTCAGCTAGCGTAAGCTGAAAAAAAACACTCTTCGCATCGATTTTTGCAAAATACTTCGAACTGTGCATAGCTTGCAAAGTGTCATCTACCTTAGGTAATAGGTGTCGTTCCCTAATTACAGCCTTATTTACTTCCCTGAGGTCACAACACACTTTTATTTCCCCTGATTTCTCTGGGACGATTACTAAATTAGAGACCCATGGGCTGGCCTCTGTGACCTCCTCAAT